TAATAATAATAATAAAATAATAATAATAAAATAATAATAAAATAATAATAATAAAATTAATAATAATAAAAATAATAATAATAGTAATAATAATAATAACAATAATAATAATAATAATAAATGACAACAATGACTGACAATAGAAAACACTGATCTCTGGAATTGAAACTCAGAGATGAAATACAATTAAAAAGCAAGTAAAAATGTGAATGCACGAACCAAAGTGAATAACATCACATCGTTTGATGGTTGTCTATTCAATAATTGTTGTGTTGTGCGAATCAAATCATCATTAGAATGGATATGAGACGATTAGAGCGATGTTCGTCGATGGCATCATGTTTGGCTACATCAATAGACATCAACATCAACCTAAACAAATATCATTTTATCGCAATTCATTGAAACTATCAACGAACTATTCGGCACTATTCTAGTTGAGCTGCTGCAACGCTGAAAGTGAGCAAAATTTTTCCAAGTCCGAAAGAGAAGACTCTTTCGCATTACTTTTCTCTATGCTTCCATCACAAACTTCGTATGTATCGCTCATCATATTCGCCTAACACTTAAGAGGTTTCTCCAGTGAAGAGGATCGACAGGCAGAGAGAACGACAAATTCGAGGTAATGTTACAGAATTGTTAGTGATCATTTTTTAAATAACCGTTAACACAATACAAATGCTCAGAATGCTTCTGAATTTCGAGGATTGTCGTCATCCATCTAAATGTGATGTTTGCAGAGTTGTTCACAACAATTTTAACCTCAGGATTTGTTTTTATCGTTTAAATTCACAACTTTAGCCTTACGATCGCAGGAACGAGACGATTCCTTTCAAAACTCACTATTCAAAGCTATCAAAAGCTGTAGAATAATCAGTTCCTTGTGTAAGGGTATGGATTAACTTATTGGGTTCAGAATTGCAGTCGGGGAACTTAAAAATGCGGTAGGCTTGAGAAAAGTCGGGGACGGGAAAAGGGGGAAAACTCAATCTCATCTTCGTTTTCGATCCCTGAATTTTGCCCGAAAATATAACGTTTGAACTGGAGTCAGTATGTCTTTGAAAACAGAAATTTGTGTTAGAAAAGCATGGAAATAAGCCATCTTTAGGATAGCACAAAGACAACCACGAATCCACAATGTGGTTTTAACAATAATATTTCACTAA